TGCAGCCATTCACACAGTCTCTCTCTCTCTCCCTCCCTCTCTCTCTCCGTGTGTGTGTGTGTGTGTGTGTGTCTCAAAATGACAGAGTCACAGAATAAGGTTTTTTCCGCCTTTTGGTGCTCCGACATCCTATGCCGCCTCTTCTACACCGACAGCAGAAAGGAAGATTAGAAGGAAAAAAGTTAGAGTTTTGATTTTTGATCTTCATCATATTGACCTTCACCGTTTGAGTCCTCATCAACCAATGTCTGCGTCTTTGGCGTTCACAACTGAAGCCATGAAGTTGTTGGAGGAAGAGCAGTTTCTTCAGTTGAATAAGTAAATTCAGTAATTTTCTCTATATTTCTCTCTCGCCCCCTTCTTCTTCTTATCTATCTAATCTGTCTCATTGAATTTCTACCGGAAATAAAAGGACCCGTTGAAACCGAAGCAACCCATGTCTGCGTTTTTCATGTTCAGAAATGAGCGAAGAGCAGAGAGCAAGAGTGGCTGGGAGGTAATTGAAAAGTGGAATAACATGACAGAGAAACAGAAGAAGCCTTTTGAAAAGGTTCAATTAACTCAGTCTTTCTCTATCAATCTCTCTCTCTCTCTCTCTCTCTCTCTCTCTCTCTTTTTGTCTCTGCAACATCAATTTCATATTTTGGGAACTTGCAGAGTGCAAAACAAAACATGGAAAAGTATTTGGATGAAATGAAATTACCATATAAAATTGTCTATATTTTTTTTATCGTTATATGACATTGTCTATATGATAATTAATCTCGACAAATAAGAAAAATCACAACACACAGTCATCATTTGTCTTTTAATTATCTAATAAAGGTATAAATCTCTGTATTTCAATCATACAATATTTTACTATATGATTAATTTAGAATATCATATAAATAATATTACATAATGTTTTGAAATTACTAAATAATTACCCTATGATCATGGTTTTTCTACCAAACTATATGTTAGGATTGAAATTTCAGCACTTCTTTAAAAAATAAAAAGAAAAAGTAGCATTATATTTGGGGTTATTTGGCTCGTTCCCATGGAGTTCCCACTATATGTTATGATCATGGTTATATTTACTATATGTTATGATCATGGTTATTTGGCTCGTTCCCATTATATTATGATCATGGTTATTTGGCTCGTTCCCATTATACAATGCCATCGAGTTCAAGTATAATCCAACGTGGAAGTTGGGATCTGACTTGCCATCGTATATTTGGAACCTCGGCATACTGAATCTCTTCGGAGCCTCAAACTTGAGAATGGTGTTCTCGGCTTTTAAGGGGAAGTTGCCTCGGCATCGACATTCTGCTGCTTCCTCTTGAGGTAATCTCTCAAGTCTTCTTTGCTCTGCCCAGGAGCTCGGCTATCTCCTAACTTCAGTCTTTTCGGCATACTACTTTCAGCTTCATGATGGGTCTTTTTTGATCTTTCTCCGTGGGTTGTGTCGAAGCAGAGTGCCTGCCCCTGAACATGCCGATGTTCTTTGGGGTCTGCCTCCTTCGCGCGATGCGTCCTCCGCGATTCTTCTCTCCTTGACTCTTCTTGTCCGACCTCCCTTGAAGGCCGGTGAGAGTGTTTTTCACTCCTAGTATGCTGAGGGGCTATTGGGATTTGCTTCTGCCCTCCCTTCTGGGCATTGGCCGCTGGGATCGGCGTGTCCTACAGCGGGTATAGTGGCTGCATAACATTGTTTTGCATCATAAAATTGACAAGCGATTGCAGGTCTGCCAATTTGTTTACCATCTCTTTTACCTCTTCGTCCCTCCGCAGGCATCTATCCTTCCACACCTGGAGGTCATCCTCATTGTAGTACCCACTTCGATCTGGCTTCTTTGGTACGTCGCCATCCCGGCCGACGTCTTTCTTGCTGTGATTCTGGTCACGAGTTTCTGGGTTGCAGTTATCTCCTTTGACGTCAAGGTCGATAGGTTTGCCACTCCCAGCAGGAGTGTCATCCCCAATCTTTTTCTTCTGTCCGTCACTGGCCATCTATTCTTCTTTCTTTCCCACAGACGGCGCCAAATTGTGTGAGTGATTTTCCGATCACACTGCCCAACTTAGTATTCAGCTGGAGAGAACTGGTAGAATAGATGACATCTAGCTGACCTGCAACAAAAAGAGAAGATTCCGGCGGTGGTTCGTCCACCAGGGGGCACTCCGACGATCAAGTCAGTATATCTCTCAAAGATAATTAATAGTGCTAAACTCACTATTCAGAATATAAATTGCGTACCTTAGACCCATAGGGGGTGCCTCTCTTTTATAGTTAACTCAATCCTTGTTCCACTAGAAGCCTAGCTTCAATGGACTCTTACTTAGTGCTTATCCTGGACTCTCCAAGAGATAAAGATAAACTCCCTAAGATTGTTATCCTTATCCATGCTAAAGTCCTTCTTCATTCTAGGACTCTCGTCCCTTATCCGCTTATCTTGGATTCCGATATCAAGATTACCTCGACCTAGCCGAGATTACCTCGGCATCGTGACTAGGACACGTGGCACCTCGGCTGACACGTCGGCATCACCTTGACCACGTGTTGGTACTCAAAAAATATATCCCCACAAAAACTATAATAAATTTATTTAAGCATAATTACTAACCACATTTTTTTTACTAATGTATAATATTTATATTGACTACCTTTTCAAATTTTAAAGTATTTATATAAAAATAATAAAAAATCATTAGGAATAAATTTTTTTTCTTAATTTAATTATAAATTTTGTCTATATATTATTTTTAAATTTTGAATAAAAAAAATATAAAATAATTTATTAAATTTTTTTTTCTATATGTAAATTTTTTGGGGGGTAAATTACATTAACACCTCTTGAGGTTTATGTTTATTACAATTCTCCTCTCACCTTTTGAAAATTACATCTCTCTCCCTGAGATTTAAAGTTTCATTACAGATTCCTCCCTCCAGTAATTTAATTTTTTTAAATAACAATTTTGTCCTCACTGGGTAAATTACATTGACACCCCTCACGTTTTAGAAATTACAATCCCATCTCTAAGGTTTAAAGTAGCATTTCCAATTGCTCAACTAAGTAGTATTAGTTGAAAAAAAATTAATTGAAAAAAAAAAATAATTAGAAAAAAAATTATTTGAAAAATAAATTAATTGAAAAAAAAAATTGTTAGTCAAATTTTTAAATTTCTGTTTAAAAACCAACGCAAACTCATTTTTTGAATTTACGTTTTTTTTCTCAAATTTACAAACTGAGACAACGATTTATAAACCAAAAAAAATGATCAAACAAATTTTTATGACAGTTTTTAAATTTTTTATAAATATAAATTGAAAACGAAATTGTTACCAAACAGGTCTCTAAGGGTGTAATTCTGGCCCGGCCTGGGCCCATGTTGGGCCTTGCGGGCTCCCGCCAAAAAATCGGGCCAGGCCACGGACCAGAAAACTAGGCCTAGGCCCAGGGGTATTCGGGCTTTGAGCGGGCCAATGGGCCGGGCCTCGGGCCGAGCCCATGGGCTTGGACCTGGTCTCGAGCTTTGGACGAGCCTAAACAATTTTTTTAAATTTTTCCCATCAAAATTTTATTATTTTCCATTTTTAAAAAATGGGCATCGGGTGGGCCAGGCTTTGAGCCAGGCTTTTGGGCGGGCCTTGAGCGGGCCAATGAGCCGAGCCACGGGCCAGGCCAAGCGGGGGCTAGGCCCATGGGCTAGGCCGGGCCAAGCGGGATCGGGCCAGGCTTCAAAACGATGGCCCAGGCCCTAGCCCAAGGCATCGGGCTAAGCTTGGACTCGGACCTTAACGGGCCGGGTCCACCTCAGGCTGCGGGCAGGCTTCGGGCCGCCCGTAGGCCACGGACCAAAATTACACCCCTACAGGTCTCATATAGTAAAAATGTCGTAAAATTAACAAATAATTAAATAAGTTATCAACATAAAAAATGACTTATCAAAAAATTCTTAGGCTATGTATGGTTTGATTTTTAAATTTTTTTTTTAAAAATTAAAAATTAATTTGGTTAAGAAATAAAAAATAAAAAATAATTATCATTTTATATAATTTTTATCTTTCGAGTGTAATAAACATAAACCTTAAGGGGTGTCAATGTAATTTTTATCTTACATTAATTTTTAAATAGAAATTTAAAAATTTGGCTTATAAAATTTTTTGTCAAATAATTTTTTTTTCAATTAATTTTTTTTGAATGAGTTTTTCTCCAACTATATATATATACAAATAACTATAATCACACCTAGTTTTTGTTTAAAACAGAAGTCTACGTTTTGACGAAAACAAACTGCAATTTCATTTGTTCTCTTCGTGTTGTAAACATCTACCCATTTCGTTTACGCGATTTACGATTGTTCTTCATTTTTCGATCAATCGGACGATCAATTGTTCTTCTCTCCTTCTCTCTCTCTGACCAAGTCATGTTCAAGTCCTTCTGGTAACCTTTCTCAATTCAATCTTCACCTGTTTTAGGGCTATTTGGATTCATCTTTATATCTTAATCTGTACATCCATATATGAAATTACTATTTCAAACAATTGTGCATTTTTATTGATAAAGTTTGTCCTTTTTTCAAATCTTGAATAGCTTTCTTGTGTTATGAGCTAATTTCCATCTACTCTAGTGGTTTTTAGCATTCCTTTTTTAAGTATTTGGATATGGGTCAAGCAGATGGTATATGCTTTTCTAAATTTTTTATTTTATTTTTAATTTTATAGCTGCTGATATATGTTGTGCAATTGGGTCATTGTAATTCAGTCATTTTGTCTGTTCCAAACTTGTGTTTATTCTTTGGTGGGATAAAGGAGTTGAAAATCTGATTACAGGGAAAGGAAATGAGGAGAGGGAGGGGATTTAATGGATCATCTAGGTGGATAAGCTTATGGCTGTAGATGGTGGAAGTAAGCAGATACAATTGAGAAATGGAAAGGTTAAGGGGAGTGCTGATAGGAATGGAGGATGAGAAGGGTACAAAAGGCCAAATAAAACAAGAGTCTTGATAGAGATCCCTAAAACAATCATAGGTGTTTGATTCTGAGCTTTCATGTAGGAGAGAGTTGTCTTATGTATCAATGTATAATACTGACATAATTCCCACCTCCCACAGGGAAAATAAAAATTTGTTTTTACTTTCAGATCAAGGTCAATTCATCAGGTTATAGCTTGTGTTGGCTTCATACTAGACTTGCTTCATTATCCTTTCTAGTCCTGATTGAACATGTGCCAGTGGATTGCATCAACTTTTATATACGGGTCTTGTTAAGATGGCTTAAAAAGATTATACATTCTTTCATGCAGAATGTACAATCTATTTAAGCTTCTTAACATGTGCCTTAAGGGCACACATTGACAAAATCCTTTTTATATTTGCAGTTCGTGACTTACCTAAGAACTTTTAGTGTATCGTACATTCATTGATTATCACTTATTTGTGCTCTTCATATGCATGATATACTCTCTCATGAACACGGACATGTTCAAAATGAATTTCTGTGAGCATGAATTGTTTTGCTTTTATGAACTTAGTGGTATGTTTAATACTAACTGCGTTTATAAATAGGGGTTCTCATGAGCAGCAAGCTCAGCCAAGTCCACAGGAGATTCCTACAAATTCATGGTATCCTCCATCTGTAGTTAGCTCTCCAAGTTCTTCCCGCCCAACAACTCCTAGTAGCACCTCTTCTAGTAGCTTCAGTGTACAAAGGCCTGCAGATCGGCCAGAGTCACCATCTCATGTTTCGCCTGCAGAGGCTGCTGGCATTATTGTTCTGTTAAAGGATAAGAGGTAAAGCTCATGGATCCCTAATTCATTATTATTACGTTGCTAATTATTATTTTGTAATCATGATATGTATCATGTATCAATTTTATGATATATATCATATTGTGTATCATTAGATACATTAACATATATGAATATACATTTATAAAAAAAAAGTAATTTGATGTAAATATATTACAAGAATAAACTACTAAATCACATAATCAATGACATGAAACAATTTCTGTAAGAAACTTACAAATTCGTCAAAGATGTAAATATACTTTCATTAAAAACCCAAGCATGCAACTCATACTTAACAAAAGATAAATGAAATTCATTGCAACTTAACACGGACACTTCTAAGAAGGTAACATGGACATGATATGACACTCTGACATTGATTAACAACTTTATGTAGTAGGTTTTATTTGAGTTGCATATTATTCAAATCATTCTGCATATTTTGAAAACTATTATGGTGGACTTCTTTGGAAGTACCGCACCATGTGAGAATATGACATGCTGAGAACTTTCTTCATTACGTTAAGATAGATGGGGAATGTTGTCATAAGCATAATATATTTTTGTAATGTACTCTTGTTTACATAAGAAAGCATTGATTAGCATCCTAGTTGTTGGGAAGGAATTCGGTTTTTGGTAAACCTTTTTGTATATAGTTGGTAGAAATATGAATGATCAAGGTTGAGTTCTAAATCATATAAATATGTAGACAGATATATGTATTTATATGTTGCTGACACTACAATAGTTATTGGCCATACAAATAGCAGTAGCATGGTTCCTTTCCCTCCCAAACATGCCCTTCTACTGGATGTTTTTTTTCTTCTTCTTCTTCTTTTTTTTTTTTTGGGGGGGGGGGGTTAAAAAATTAGTCTTGTGGAATCAATTTTCATTGCTTTTATGATTGCCAATAATCAATTAGAAATCCGAGTCCTAAAAATTTTCTGCTTTGCATTTTTGTATTTTCTGATGATTCTCTTCTTTTCTTATTTCGTTCTTTTAGTGTTGATGAGTTACGGAAGCTTTTATCCGACAAAGATGCATACCACCAATTCTTACTTTCAGTTGACCAGGTTAAAATTCAAAACAATGTAAGTTGATTTTGGTTCTTATGCTTCCATTTTTCTTTCATACTTGTAACTTTCTGTAACTTTTTGCACCTTGGTTGCTCTAGTTACTATATGCTGTTTTTTTCTCCCAGCCTTCTTTTCCGTGTTTAATGAATGCCATAATTCAGTTATGTATGCCATGATTCGGTTTAGTTATTCACCCAAAAAAAAATTTCAGTTTAGTTGTCCCCTATTTATAGATCTCAGTTATGAGATGTGATATAGAATGTTGTGGGAATGCAGTAATGAAATTATTTTTCATTTCGGACTCTCAAATGAAATAGTATGTCTAGCTCAACAACTTATCGGACATTGATATATCAAACCAGATTGAAGTTATAACGAAAGCATGTCCGTAGACAATACCCGTTACATTAGAATTTAGAATTGCCATTAGACAATCTAGGTTGTAGCTTACTTCAAAACACCACATACTTGCTCATGCATTTTAGGTGAGCTGATACTGTATCATAGGTACGTCAATGTGGGGAGTTAGCCATCTTTGGCATATATTATTAGTAGTCATTTTGTGGTAGCCTTGTTTCTGAATTAATTTTGCAATTGTTCTGACCTTTCATATTTTTCCGTGTCAACAACATCAGCTAAGAGATGAACTTCGGAAGGAGGCTTTGCAGCTTACGAGTAAGTTCTTTTGTTCACTAAATTACTATAAATCTACGACATATGTACACATGCACACATAATTGCATCTCATACACTGTTAAAATCATATAACGCGACATATTCTAAATAATCTCTTTATGAAGGGGAAAATCTGGAGAAAGAACCACAAATAATGGAACTGCGTAATCAGGTGAACTGTTTAAGCTGTGTTCAGATTCTTTTGACCCTGAAGCTAATATTGGAATACCCGATTAATGTTTTTCCTTCGCTGTTTTTTATTCTGCAGTGCAAAATCATTCGGACAACTGAATTGGCTGCTGCTCAAGAGAAGCTAAGCGAGATAGAGAGGAAAAAAGAAGAGACCCTGAAATATTACGCTCCAACATCCCTGCTTCATAGGCTTCAAGGTAAAATTATCGTTATATTCATTATTGAGAGAGGTTGAGAGCTTTCTGTTACATGGCTGATATAAAAGATTTGTTTGCTGTTTGCAGAGGCAATGAACAAGACAGATGATGAATCTGAGGCCCTGCGCAGGCAGCTTCTGGATAAGGAGATTGATGTAGGAGCTTTTGTGCAGCAGTACAAGAAGCTTCGTAACACTTACCACAGGCGTGCTTTAACCCATCTCGCGGCCAAGACATCAGTAACTGGATGAGCACAGAGCGATAGTCCTGTCGTATTAGTTTGTCAATCCTCAAACTGGTTTGGCTGTATTTTGGGCACTTTTTACTGCCTTGCGTCCTCTCTCTCTCTCTCTCTCACACACACGCGCGCGCACACACTTTTTCCCTTGGGCACTGTGATGAGATAATTTCACGAACAGCGGCAGTTAATTAATTCAACAGTACAATGCAGTCTGAAGGGCATATTCTTAGGTTAGATGTAAAACCAAAATCCAGAGACCATAGGCCAATTATTTTTTCAAGATCTCGTGTGTGTAAAACTCTAACAATGATAGCTTTTCTTTTTTGATTGTTATATATATGATATTGGGTTGAATTTTTACTTTTGTAATTGTCTTTAGTTTTGATTTGGATGAATAAATGTATTTATCTTCATGAACATTTCACAACGAAACAGGCATTTTTTTTTTTTATGTTTTCAATAGAAAATAAATGTTAAAATCATTCCAAAGTAGCAGAACTGCATTTTTACATCTCTCATAACATAACTATTTTGGATGTCACAAAACTGAGTACATCCAACCTGACAAAATAAACAATTCATATTCATCAAAATGGGACTTATGGTGAGTTCAACCCAACAAATAAAATCTAAGGTAATATCTTTCTTTCACATTCAAATCAGTTGCAAACGACGGTAGTAATGGGTTCAATGATAGTTACAACATAATTTAACATGAATATGTTTGTACGTGTAGAAATTTTGGAAAAGAAATGTGAAAACAACATGAATTTGGTAAATAAACAACAGGATTCAAATTATTCAGTTACATTCCAGCAAAATATATATAATACAGTGAAATACAAATGTCCTATTCCATCTATGACTACAACATTTTCCATGCTGAGGGCCAGAACACGAGAGTAACACAAATAGAACAACCAGAAGGGAACATCTGAGATGTGTCATTGTTCTTAGGAGTCTACTTTTTTCTCATTCAACCGATCTAGTTCCTTCTCCCACTTCAGTCCAAACATCTGGCGACCAAAAGGTACGATCAGGTTGTACTTGAAAACCTGCATTTAAACATCAATATTTATAAGAAAATAAATGCATATATATATATAGTAGAGGTTTGAACTCTACCTTATTATTGATGCTACGCAACTGCAATTTCAGAGCCTCTGAAGACTCGATCCATTTCGAGTTGTTTCCGTTCTCTCTATGTGCCGATGCTCTCTGCAGGGCTAATCGCCATCCAGCAATATCATACCTGATCTCTTTATTCAGCTCAACCCACTCCGGTGCACATTTATTCCTTGAAAGAATTCTGTACAAGGTATCTTCAGCTGGGTCAGCATGAGGATTAGTATTGAGGTCAAGGGGTTTGCCTTTCCCCGGTAAATTCTCAAACTGCCCTTCTTCCATGGAATGCCATATTCTTTGCTCAACAATATTTGTGATATCAGTTTCAGACCTGTCCAAATGCAAAAAAGCCAAGACTAATGATCACAGAGAGAGAGAGAGAGAGATTTTGCCGATTAGACACAGAATAAACTAATGTCCAAACTACCAAATGACAACTAGTTCTAATAAGAACACATATTGCAGAGTTATCAAAAAAAGAAAAAATCAAAAGTATCTCAGGTCAATGAGCTCAACTAAGGATATAATTAGGGTTTACGACATGCTTGGGGGAAAGAAAGAAGTCCAGTCATATCAATATTATGACTGGAAGTCCAACTCAGAACAATTACCTAAGGGGCTAGGTCCTGCACAAGGAAGCAATAGCACTGGTAAAGAATGGTAAAGAATTCCCTAGAATCATTAGAGAATAAAGCATCAACAAAGAGAAGAAGAACGTGGCAATCAAACATTAATCATCCAGTGAGCCCGCATCTTCCACAAGTGATTTTTGTTGCCTTTCCAACACTGTAAGACTGCAGATCAAACATTTCCGCTAGGTAATTTCATTGTCATGTCAGATACCTATGTCTCAAATGCAATCCAACAACAAATTTGTTTATCACTAGAGGTTGACAAACTATTCTACTGGCAACTACTACACTACTATAAGCCAGGGTTTAATTCTTTTTTTTCGATTTAAATTCTAAACACAAAATATAGCTTCCATGATCTATCATCGTTCAGGTTTTGTCTTCCTGGCCAATTTAAGAATGTGCTTCTATTCTAATTCAAGCTAGCAGACTTTGAATTCTTTGAGACATACCCAATGTTCTCTTTAAATTGACTCAGCACAAGACGGACACAGAACAGCAGTATATGAAAAAAAAATAAAAAAAATCATAGGATGCAGATAACAACAACAAAAATTCCATACTATCAAGAAACCCTTAATCATCAACTTATATGACATATATTTAACCTCATTTCTAAGGATATGGAATATTCTAATTTCTAAATATGAATTAACGAGGAAAACATAAATTTCAACTCTCCAACCATCATCAATCAACATGAGAATCAAATCAAATTCACACCAGTTTTCGGTCCATTCTTTCTCTAATACCGCTTGATGCCAAACAACTTTATTTTGATCATTGACCATATGGTAACAACTAAGCTCTTATTTTCATCTGTAATAACTCCCAAGTTCTTGCTTTTCCTATAACTCCTTGGCTTTTCTTTCCTTAATATGCATCTCAAGTGTATTCCAAAACGCTCCCGAAATCCATGAAGAACTTCAAAAAAAAAAAAAATCAACACATAACCTAAAAAAATAAATAAATAATTATGGAAAAACATACAGCACAACAGGATGAGTGAATCATTAATATTTTTACAAAATTGTTGCTGATATGAAAACGTGAGGGGAAAAGAACTGAAAAATTGCTCCTTCGCTTCAAATATTATTTTCCCCGAGTGTTTTCCGAGTAACCAAACGGGAGGTAACTGACATACCTGACGGCGTTACGTTGGCCACGAAGCTCCGGAGGGAGTTTACGGTCGTTGACGGCGTCGATAACGCCGGAGAGACGATCGGTGATCTTCTTATTGGGCTTCGGAGAGTCCTCCGACGAAGACGAGGCCCACCTGATCTTGGATACGCAGCCACGGCCAACAATTCCGATCAGCGACGATGCTGAGTCAGCAACTCTCGCCACCCTAGTAGCCATGGCTCAGACCAGAGGGAGATGGAGAGAGAAAGTGGGAGAGTTGTCTCTCTAGAACTTCAACTTGGGCTTTAGGATTTTGGGCCTGGTTCTGTAATGTTTTGTTTCCATCAATTACGGGGTTTGTTTTGACGTGGCACATTTCAAAACCATGACCCACGGCCCAATCGTTAAAATCGACCGCCCTGACTCATTTCATCCATTTTTAAGCTTTTAATTGTATAGGCTGATGGATGCAAATAATTTTTTTTTTTTAAATGTAACTATATTTGAATGGATGAGAGATTACTTCATCTAATCCGATTTGTCAACCCTCTCAAAAAGTGATGGTACATTTTTATACTTTATATGCTAAAAAAATAATATTTTATTTAGTAATAATATTAATTATTTATAAAGTATGAAAGTTTAGCCTTTATTTTAATTATTAAAATTAAAAAAAAAAAATTAGACTCAAATGAGCCTAAAATAATAAAAAATTATTAAAAAAAAAACAATCCACATCTGCTAACTAATGCAGATAGATGCAGATTAATTTTTTTTAATCTATCTAAGTTCAGATAGATGACAGATAAGAGGTCACCATACCCAACCCAACCCGAGGTACACGGACCCTACAGTGAACTGATATGGTACGAGGCCTTATTTGAGCCCAGCTATGATTGGGCCGAGCATGTATTAGTGGGGCGGTTTTGCGGACTGAGACATTAGATTGACTTGGGCTTGGCTGTTTAGAAGGGTGTAGGGCAAGGCAGTAAATTTACCTTTGCCAAATCCAAATTCATGTAATACTAGGATTAAGGGGAAAACGGGGTTTTCCTATTTGTATTACTTTTTCATTATAAATACATGTAAAACTCTGGGAATTTATTCAATCGTTCAACGAGCAGAAATATGCTTTATTCAATCATCGAGGAGAAAAAATATTTTAATTTTGATTTCAAATCACAACGTTGAAGAAATTCATCAAGTAAGTATTCTTGCTTTTTATTTTTTTACTTTTTATTTTTATTTGTAAAATACTAGAAACCACACATAATCATTAGTATTGAGTCTTGCGCAGACCCTAAATGCTTACTTATTTGTGTTTTCAATTGTTTATTTATCTTTTGCATAATTTTGAATGTGTTCATGAATTTATTGCTTTGCTTGAAGCAATTTATTATTGATCGGTAGAATTAGAGCCATATTTTTTGGGCACAGGTAAACCCCTCTCCAATCCATGATTTAATTTCTTAAAGGGTTGTTACTATTCGGTTGAGTTTTGAGAACTTGTTTTGTGAAATTAAACAAAAAAAAAAAAAAAAACTAATTTGATAAAAATAAACACCAAAAAAAGATAAAACTTCTAATTTTTAAAAATTATTTTCATCCAAAAAATAAAATATTATAAAATTCATGGTTTCTTTTTCACTATATAAATGTGTTAAAATTTTCTATGACGGTGGATTATTTAGGCCAAGTTTGGCATCCTCAAAAAAATTCAAAAAGTCAAAAAGTCACTATCTTATTTAAGTCACATCATCTTATTTAAGTCGCATCACCTCTCTAACACATCACTTTAAACCCAACCCAAATCCAACCTATATTTCATAAAAAGTTAAAAAGTGCACTTATTTAGTCTTTCCAAACTTGGCCCTCCAGCAAAATATGAAACATGAAAATCACATTATTATTATATATATATATATATATTCATAATGTTATTTTATCTTTTTTATTTCTTTAATAAACAATTTTAAATTAAAACAAATTAGAAATATTCAAGTAAAGTGTACCTAAAATAAGGGGCGGTTGGGGCGCTCTAAGAAGGTTTATTAGGTCAGCCATTCATGTTTATACAAACATTCCCAACCCTTTCTTCAATCCTCCTAGGCTAGGGTAAGATTTCTATTGTCTAATACATACCATACACTCGCGTGAAATATATCACCTTTCCTTTCAAATTTTGAATTACCACATACATATTCCTACTTGTGTTTCCTTAATTTAAAAGGATTCCAAAATAAAAATATTTTTTATCTTTCAATCCATACATTCCAAGAAATTTACTCAGAATCCTGGAAATCACAATCAAATTCCTATCCCGAACTAACAAATTTTCTCGTGTCAGAAAAGAAACCACAATGAAGCTACTGGAAAAGCAAATTTTTCCTGACAAATCGGGAATGGTGAAGATCTTTCTAGAACAACCAGACGACCTCTGGCTTGTGTACAATCTCATCGCTGTTGGAGACGTGATCACCTCCCAGACTTCCCGGAAAGTCAATAGTAAAAACCAATCCAGAGTCAATATTAATCTTGAAATCAAGGTCACGGCCATCGACTACAGCAAAGGCTCGTCGGTCCTTCGTGTCCGCGGAAAGAACCGGGTCGTGAACGAACACATAAATGCCGGCTCGTTTCATACATTGGAACTAGAAAAAAATAAGGAATTTACTCTGGAGAAGAAAGTCTGGGACACAAAAGCGATGGAAACAATGGAAGATGGTCATGATGGTGTCGTTGGCTACGATTTAGGGGTGGTTTTGATGGAAGAAGGGTTGGCTCATGTGTTCTTAGTTGGAAATAACAGTGTTTCAAAGCATTGTGCAAAGATTGAAGAACGTCTGGATCCAAAAACTGGGTTAAACAAGTTTTTTGAAAGCGTTTTACATGCTTTCATGAAGCATATTGATTGGAATATGGTACGTTGCGTAGTAATAGGAAGCCCAGGTAAGATAAAAGCTGAGTTTCACCAATACATTCTGTCTGAAGCACAGAGATCGTCCAAGTTGAAATCGATAGAGAACAAGAAGTCATGTATACTGTTGGTGAATACAAATTCAGGAAAGGAAAACTGTTTGAATGAGGTTTTGCATAATATAACAGTCACAAATTTTATCAGAGACACAAAGGCTTCAGTGGAGATTAAGGCAATGAAGGAGTTCACTGACCTGTTATCGAGCAACTCTGATCGGGCATGCTATGGTTTAAAGAGCGTTGAGGCTGCACAAGAGTTGAGTGCCATCAAAACCCTAATGATTACAGACGAACTTTTTAAGAATGCAGAGATTGCTATGAGGAAGAAGTATACCGGATTGATTAAATCAGTGAAGGAAGCCGGAGGGAAGGCACTGGTGCTTTCGTCAATGCATGTGTCAGGTGAGGAGCTTGCAAAGTTGACTGGTATTGTGGCTGTTCTAAGATTTCCGATGCCTGAGCTTGATATGTAGTTTTTTTTTTTTTTTAAAGGTTTGCATCCATGCATGATTGTAAGAATTCACTTGAGTTAGATAAATGAGATATTGCAGATTCTTTTCCACCTAATTTGGTGCCTGTAGCACTGTCATCCTTTAATCACCTCATTGCAATAAATAAATTGGCATCAACTGAATTGGTGAAATTTATTAATGAAAAAAAAAAAATGTAGTTGCAGCACAGCCAAAAAACCAAAACACAAAAAAACAAATTCAAATAGCAAATTCAAGAGTCAGCACACAGCGTACAAAAGAATAGCATTATTTGCATTCCTCCAAATGGTAACTTTGGTGTAACAACTCCATATCCACATTAAAAAAATAAAAATAAAAACACCTTAACTTCCAAAACATAGGTAGAAATAATTATTCACAAAACCAAACCCCTTCTATAAAACCAAACAGCTGGAGCCAACATGAACTAGGGATGCACACAGCCAATTGTCATGCTAAGATACAAAAAAAGTTACACGAAAACTGATATATATCATTGTGTGCAACTATACTGATGACTCAAAACACCAGAAATCACTGGTGTTCATTTTCAAGTATAAACGCTGGATATCATGTCCTCTTAAACATTCAAAGCAAACCGGCCTTTTTAAGAGCAGCCTCAAAATCTTCATTACTTCTCCAGGATGGCACCTGCACCCATAGAAATAGCAAGAATACAATTAGACATTACCCTGATGTGTACATCTTGAGACAAACATTTACACTGTTATTGCCTCCAATCCCACAGTACTCTCACCCTAGTACTGTAAATTTGTGACTCAAAACCCTTAATAATTTGAAATATATCATTGTGTGCAACTATACTGATGACTCAAAACACCAGAAATCACTGAAATCACTGGTGTTCATTTTCAAGTATAAACGCTGGATATCATGTCCTCTTAAACATTCAAAGCAAACCGGCCTTTTTAAGAGCTGCCTCAAAATCTTCATTACTTCTCCAGGATGGCACCTGCACCCATAGAAATAGCAAGAATACAATTAGACATTACCCTGATGTGTACATCTTGAGACAAACATTTACACTGTTATTGCCTCCAATTCCACAGTACTCCCACCCTAGTACTGTAAATTTGTGACTCAAAACCCTTAATAATTTGAAAAATGTATCACTTTGTCAGCGATTACCTCAGCTATTTCCATGTTGAAGTGTCTCTCAATCTTGGCCATGATCATAACATCTCTATCATTACACAGCAAATTGAACACGGCTCCTGTAGGAATAAGTAAAACCAATTACAATTAGCAGAAAAATTGGGGAGGAATCTCTAACTCCTCGAGCTTCCACATTTATCCAATATTACTGATACATGCAAACAAATATAGCCTGCTGTTTTTCAGAAACATGCCAGCAGAAGAGGGGACACATGCAGCCACAAATATTGCCCAAGTTACGGATTTTATACGCAATTATATAAAAATAAGGCTATTCTTTGTGGTTTGGAATCACAATCCAAGTTAATAGTTAGTAGCAACTGCTGAAATCCCAGTATCATACAATCACACAACAGACAGACAACCTGAACGCATTTGACCCAATACCTGGACTTCCAACGCCTTGGTCAATCAATAAATGACCGGGCGAGATCTAAATGAACTACAAAATTTCCTTTGACATATCCCATTCATAATCACAACTTGAAACGCCTAATACAATAAATAGCAATAAAGAAAGAATGAAATGGTTTACTTTTTATAATTGCTGCTGATTCAAATTCAATGCAAACTTATTGACTACATTTATGAATTCCAAGAACTTATACTCCAAAAAATTGGATCAAGTTCTATAATTTGTAAATATAAAATCTACTTACTAATACCAGCATGCTTCTATAGCTACTGTTAAAAAATGATACAAGGGTACTTCACATTTTGAGTAATTGAACCAAGTCTACAATGTGACCAAGCACAAATAATTCAGAATTTTAATTATTTTAAGCATAGATCAATGAACAATTCAGAATCAATCAAAGAAAAAAATGAACCAACCAGGAATTGTCTTCATAGGAATAAACAATTGATATGAAGCATTCAAGGAATAGCAAAGACAGGATCCAAAAATCAGCAAAACTTACCCTTGCGGCCAAAACGTCCTGCCCTCCCAACCCGATGCAAGTACACCTCACAGTCGGGTTCTGATGGGGAGTCATGCTTCACCGGAAGATCAAAATTGACAACCAAATTAACCTATTAAAATAGGCAATGTTAGGATGTAAGCATTCTAAGCACTAAATAAGCAAATCATCAACAAATAACACAAAGAGGTGCACACCTGTGATTGGTCAAAACCCCGGGCAAGCAGATCAGTTGATATGAGTACTTGAGTTAATCCATCTTTAAACTCCTTGACAATCTTGTCCCTATCTTCTTGCTTGAGAGCACCTTGAATAGTCGTGACCTCGTAGCCATCATCAGTAAGTGCTTTATGCAGCATGCTGGCACTATTTCTCGTGCGAACAAAAATAATTGTCTGCCCCACCCTCTGTCCTAATTCAAAAATTCTGTCCTTAATTACCATTATCTTTGCAAGTTCATCAGGACACTTCACTTTGTACTGCTTTACAGATTCCAAGGACAGTTCTTCTCTGTTAACAAACATTTGGTTGTAATCTCCTTGGAAGAGATCTTTAACAATCTTTGATACAAAGGCCCTGACAGCATCATCAAAAGTGGCAGAAAAAAGAAGCACCTGGTTTTTGAAAGAAATGAAAATTAAGTTAGATGTGTTGCTGCATTTTGAAAATTCAACAAAGTTCTTTGTGCCTGTTTGGCAGAAATTATTTACAGCTTATTTCAGCTTTCAGCTTAATTTAAGCTATTTTGATGTGTTTGGTTTAGCTTATAGCTTATAGCTTATAGCTTTGTGGAAGTCAGAAAACAGCTTATTCTTTGAGTGGGGCAGGAGATGCTTTAAGAATAAGCTGGAAATCAACTTAAGCTGAAAGTTATAAGCTATAAGCTGTTTAGGCATAAGCTATTGTCAAAAACAGAAATCATCTGAGAAATAATATCCAAGTATTATGTGAGAGTAAACTTTACAGAATGTTCAGTTCATATTGTGCCTGTTTGGTAAAACTTTTTCTAACTTAAATCAGCTTTTGGCTTAAATTAAGCTATGTTGGTGTGTTTGGTACAACTTATAAGGAACAGATTGTAGCTTAATTTAAGCCATTTTCGGCTTAAATTTCAAAGTTGCTTAGCTTATGCACGCAGCTGATCATGGAGGGGCAAAATGACTTAAATGCCCCTCACAATTTCAAGTAATTACAAGTGTACCATGTATATAAACCAAAAAACTCTCATTTTTGTCTCTTTGATGAAGCTGTCTGGCGATTTCCGGCGAGATGTCTCCCTCGCTCCGGCGATGAAATAGAGATCTCTCTCCTCTCTCTCTCTGCTACATCCATGGTGTTGTACCTAGGGTTTTTCGTCGTCGATCTCAGGTTCATGGCGATTTCCGACAGATCGCAGCAGATCTCTCTCTCTCTCTTCGCGATCACGGCAGTTCTCTGTCTCTCCGGCGTTGTTCGTGACAGATCGCAATCGCCACGTCGCCGCTGTACCTTCGTCGTCGTCCCCCACGTCGCGATCGCCACGTCGCCGTTGTACCTTCGCCACGTCGCCGATCAGATATCTCTCTCTCTCTCTCTCCGGCTAGGGTTTTCACTTTTTTTTTTCCTAGAAATTTTCAATATTTTTTTTTAATAAAAAATAATAATAATAATTAAGCCATTATTATTAATAATTTTAGTATTAATTATTAAAATTGATAAATTTTAGTATTAATTATTTTAGTATTAATTTCAGTATTATTAATATTTTTAGTATTATTAGTATTTTTAGTATTAATTATTTTAGTATTAATTTCAGTATTTTTATATTACTAAGTATTGACACCTAATTCATTTGTAATGAAAAAATGAAAAAAATTATACTAATTGATACTTATTAATTGATGGTAATTAAGCCATATTAATTGACACCTAATTCATTCATAATGAAAAAACGAAAAAATTTTATACTAATTGATACTATTATTAATTTTAGTATTAATTGATGGTAATTAAGCCATTAATTGACACCTAATTCATTCATAATGAAAAAATGAAAAAAATTATACTAATGGATACTATTATTAATTTTAGTATTAATTGATGGTAATTAAGCCATTAATTGATGCCTAATTCATTCATAATGAAAAAAAATTATACTAATTGATACTATTATTAATTTTAGTATTAATTGATGGTAATTAAGCCATTAACTGACACCTAATTCATTCATAATGAAAAAATGAAAAAAAAAAATTTATACTAATTGATACTATTATTAATTTTAGTATTAATTGATTGTAATTAAGCCATTAATTGACACTAATTAATTTGTAATGAAAAAATGAAAAAATTTATACTAATTGATACTATTATTAATTTTAGTATTAATTGATACTAATTATATTAGCTATTGTTATACTAATTATATTAACTTTTATTAATGAAATTATTTTTTTTAAATTAAAACTGAAAAAATGACAAAATAATCATTTTTCTATCATATAAGGGCAAAATGGACAATTACATAATAAAAAGTTATTTTACCGCTTATTAACTGCTACTTAAATCCATAACCCTACAGTTGCACCAAACAGGTTCACAACTTATGTTCATAGCTACAAGCCATAATCTATTAAGCTATAATCTATAATTACTTTTTCACAGCTCTACCAAATGGGGACATTATCAAACTGGCAAAGAATCTCAAGCACTTAACATGATCAATATGAATTTCAGAAATATCCTCAAAAGAATATATATATGAGATTTTTTCAGTAGGTTAAGTTTTAAGATAATACAAAGGAACAAAACTTGCAATAGTATGTTCACTTCCAAATATGAACAAAATCTTTATCATTATTATTATTATTATTTTGAAAAACTTGGACTCATATCCTAGACAGGAAAAAGAACGGAGTTCTTACTAGCTTGGACTCGTATCCTAGACAGGAAAAAGAACTGAGTTCTTACTTAAGCATTTATTGTCAAATGACACCACCCTAATTTTCCACACATCATTCGAACCACATCTCTCTCTCTCTCTCTCTCTCCCTCATCACACACATGCACGCACTACGTTCTGTCATCATTACACTCCAGACAATCCCAAGTATAATAACCAAATTTTAAAAAAAAGTCCTACAACACCAAAATGAAAAACTTAGGAAAAATCTAGGTAAAATCAGATTTGCAAAGCAACTCAGGTTTAGGGGCTGTTTGGGATGTCCTAAATAAGTGCACTTTTTGACTTTTTGGACTAAAAAGTTGAGGAAGAAAATACGGTTGTTTGGGTTAACTTTTTGACTTTTTATGAAAAAAATGTGTATTAAAAAATTGTATAAATTAGTGTAGAGGGAAAAATTAAGATTGGGAGTTGTGCAACCGTACTTTTTGACTTTTGGTGAATAGTGATAACTTTTTAACTTTTTGAGTAACTTTTTGGCTTTTTGGCCACATGCCAAACTTGGCCTTAAGTTTATTTAAGCACAAGATTAGCAAGATATGCAACAAACCTGGCAGTCTGGAGCGCTTCTGACAATAGCCTTCATTATCCTCACGGAATCATCTTTAAAGCCACTCTGCACCACAACAATCTTAATGAGCTACAAAACACATTCATGAAATTCTTGTCAATCATCTTTAAAGCCACTCTGCACCACAACAATCTTAATGAGCTACAAAACACATTCATGAAATTCTTGTAAAAAATGACAAAATAATCATTTTTCTATCATATAAGGGCAAAATGGACAATTACATAATAAAAAGTTATTTTACCGCTTATTAACTGCTACTTAAATCCATAACCCTACAGTTGCACCAAACAGGTTCACAACTTATGTTCATAGCTACAAGCCATAATCTATTAAGCTATAATCTATAATTACTTTTTCACAGCTCTACCAAATGGGGACATTATCAAACTGGCAAAGAATCTCAAGCACTTAATATGATCAATATGAATTTCAGAAATATCCTCAAAAGAATATATATATATGAGATTTTTTCAGTAGGTTAAGTTTTAAGATAATACAAAGGAACAAAACTTGCAATAGTATGTTCACTTCCAAATATGAACAAAATCTTTATCATTATTATTATTATTATTTTGAAAAGCTTGGACTCATATCCTAGACAGGAAGAAGAACAGAGTTCTTACTAGCTTGGACTCGTATCCTAGACAGGAAAAAGAACTGAGTTCTTACTTAAGCATTTATTGTCAAATGACACCACCCTAATTTTCCACACATCATTCGAACCACATCTATCTCTCTCTCTCTCTCTCTCTCTCTCTCTCTCTCATCACACACATGCACGCACTAAGTTCTGTCATCATTACACTCCAGACAATCCCAAGTATAATAACCAAATTTTAAAAAAAAATCCTACAACACCAAAATGAAAATCTTAGGAAACATCTAGGTAAAATCAGATCTGCAAAGCAACTCAGGTTTAGGGGCTGTTTGAGATGTTTTAAATAAGTGCACTTTTTGACTTTTTGGATTAAAAAGTTGAGGAAGAAAATACGGTTGTTTGGGTTAACTTTTTGACTTTTTATGAAAAAATGTGTATTAAAAAATTGTATAAATTAGTGTAGAGGAAAAAATTAAGATTGGGAGTTGTGCAGCCGTACTTTTTGACTTTTGGTGAATAGTGATAACTTTTTAACTTTTTGAATAACTTTTTGGCTTTTTGGCCACATGCCAAACTTGGCCTTAAGTTTATTTAAGCACAAGATTAGCAAGATATGCAACAAACCTGGCAGTCTGGAGTGCTTCTGACAATAGCCTTCATTATCCTCACGGAATCATCTTTAAAGCCACTCTGCACCACAACAATCTTAATGAGCTACAAAACACATTCATGAAATTCTTGTCAATCATCTTTAAAGCCACTCTGCACCACAACAATCTGCTCAGGGTACTTCTTCAAGTCTACCAAACAATGGCAAACAGAATTTACCAAGCAGAGCTGAAACATCAAACAAGTTGACCAAGACATACTCAAACAGTACAACTTGTTTGTAACCCTAATATACTATGATTGTAACAACGCTAATGGATAGAAAACAACCAACGGCTAAGAGATTGAGGAGATTTCATCATATAATAAGCTTAATCACTACAGATAATCTCAGTACATACATCTGTTAAACAAAAGTTACCCTAATATACAATGATTTTCACAATGCTAATGGATAGAAAACAACCAACAGCTCAGAGATTGAAGAGATTTCATCAGATAATAACCTTAATCACTATAGATAATCTGAGTACCAACATGTGTTAAACAGAAGTTTTTAATTGTCGATGTCTACACATAAAAGTTGGCATACACGTTACGGTTGAGAAAAGTCACTAGATAGACACTGCAAACGCAGCATGGCAAGGAAAATGACGCCCACAAAATATAGACTCAACCGGACACTGATTTTGGGTTTTATAAAACAGACATAATCTAAAACAATAGAAATGATAATACCTCTGCCAACATGTGGTCAGCTTCATCAAAAACAAGAATCTTCAAAAAACTCATGCTCAATTTCTTTGCTGAAACCCATTTATTGATGGTACCAGGAGTGCCAATCACCACTTGAGCTGTAATTGGTGGTCGCTTTGAAATTGGCATATAATTGGTGCTATCCATTGGTATAGCACATTCCGAAGTAATTCCTGTATACTTTCCCATCTTCTTAAGTACTTCCATGTTCTGCACCATTGTACATTCACTACTATTAGTCCAATTCTCAACTTACAAACCCTTACCATGGATTAGACGGTAAAATACACATTATAGAAAACCAATCTTTAAATTTTTTAACATAAAAACCCACCAAACAACCAGATATCACTAGTCCAACCTTAGTTAAAAATTCCATAGCAAAACATATTCCCACCAAACAACCAGATATCACTAGTCCAACCTTAGTTAAAAATTCCATAGCAGAACATATTGAATAGATAACGACAAAAAATTAGTTAAACATTCCATGGCATAACTTATTGAATAGATAACTGGAAAAAAAATATATATATATATATATATCAAACACACAGAATGATGAACACCATCAAACAAAAAAACATGAAACCCACAAACAACTTTCAGAACCACACACTCTCTACCATTATTTAAGCCTAGGCTCATAAACACTTTAATAAACAAGACAATCCCTCAAATATACACACAAGTACGTCCAGTGATAATCCCTGGTTGAACATTTTCTTTATGAATTACAAAAATCAATTAAAAGAAACTGCATTGCACAGTTACGGCCCCAACTAACCCTTAGATCAATTAAAATTTAGCTTTTAAGTCTTTGTCAAAATGAACAGAGTTTTGAGAAATAAAGAATATGTTTTAAAAGATAAATTTCAAACTAGGGTTGTATTTTGAAGATTGTTGCTTTTTCAAAGAATAGATTCGATTATTTTTGTTGGAGTAGATATGTATTTTTCCTGAGAGCTCGGGAAAGGAAAAAAACGAATAGGATTTTTTTTTTTTAAATCGACAAATAAGATATTATTCAATTTTAGTTCTAGCTAATAGGGTTTTTTTTTTTAATAATTTATTCAAATAAGATGTTGCGAAAAAACACAATTATTAATGTTCTTTGCTCATCTGGTTCCAAAAAACAAACACCAATTTTTCTTTATGAAATCTCAACCCAAGGAGTACCTTAATTAATACTAAAACCACATGCACTTCCAAAACAGAGAAGAGTTCAAACATACAGTTACAGTACAAGCATCAATAAATACACAAAGATATATCATATGTAGCGAACCTGAATCGCCAATTCTCGAGTAGGGCAGATACAGAGAGCCTGAGGAGCACTGACTTTGGGATCAACACGGCTCAACATGCCAAGCACGAAACAAGTAGTCTTTCCAGAACCATTATGTGCTTGAGCAACCAAGTGCTTGTACGGAGGAGTCAAAATCATCGGCAAACTGATCGCTTGAATCTTACTCGGCCTCTCAAATTTCATTTCCACATATAAACCCTTCAACAAGTCCGGAGACAATTTCAAATCCTCGAACGACTTCGCAGAGTTATACATAGTATCGCCCGCTACAACCTGGTGGAAGCAAATTAGAAACCCTAATAAGAATTTGAAATCAAAATCGAAACCCTAGAAATATAGGAATTGAGAGAAGAAGAGTTACGGCTTTGATGTTCGAGTCTTCGGGGTCGTCGAGGAACTTGTGGACTTTTTTAGTCTCGTCTATGGCTAAAGATTCGATCTTCAGATCGTCGGAGGTGGATTTTTCGTCGGATGTTGATGGGGCGTCTGGTTCTTCGGGTTCGTCCGCTATGTCGCCCCATGAGAGTTTGGTTTCCGAAGGTTTGGTCTCCGCCACCGTTGCGGCGGCGGAGGAGGAGGAGGCGGCGGCGGCGGTGGTAGAGTCGGTGTCAGCCATGGGGAGTTGTAGAGAGAGAGAGAGAGAGAGAGAGAGAGAGAAACAAGGACTCTTCTGGTGGGGTAGTATGGAAGTGGGAAATACTTGGGAGTATAGAATTCGCTTTTTACAGACATGTTCGCTTGGAAACGACGCTACGACCCTAGAGGGCCGGGAATGCCCAAAGACGACTACCCACTTAGCCCAGCCTGGCCCAGAGGGCTGAGCATGGTTTGAACAGGGAGTGGGCTTCTACTTAAATTCAAGTCTCGTTTGAAACAGAATATGTTAGTAATTTTTAAATTTTTTATTAAAAAATGTGTTAAAAAAAAAAGTAAAGAGAATGATTTTAAAAAATGTGTTAAAAAAAAAAAAGTAAAGAGAATGATTTAATAATTTATAATAACTTTTTAATTTTTTAACTATCATACTTAGGTCAAGTTTGGCTAACCAATAAAAATGCACTTATTTCATCATTTTATCTTTTTTGGGTCACATCAATCAATATCTCCTCTCTACTTTTTTTACACATAATATAAAAAAAATCAAAAAATACACTTATTTAGTCTTTCCAAACTTGGCCTTAATGTCCAAACCAGGCCTACTGATTCAAATTGGAAGATGTTATTGATATGACTTTATTTTTTTCCTTTTTTTTTTTTTTTTTACAAATTAGGATGCAATATTTTAAATAAAGAAGTCAATTACATAACTCTAGGGTAGCGCACACCCAAGCATCATCAAGGCTTCTCAAGGCTTCTAAAAATAAGTTTTATATATATATATATATATATATAAAAGGAATAATATGATCTAAATAAATTAACAAGTTGATTTTTTATTTATTTATTTATTTTTTTAGTTTTCAAAACAAGCCTTAATCACAAAAGCAAGGAGGTGGTTGCTGAAAAATATGAATTTCTTCATTTGTTGGAGCTTCTTGATTTGTTAGTAGGTCAGCGCGCAAGTGTTTGCCTCTCTTCAAACATGGTTAATTTCCTTCACTCCCAGTTGAGCCAAGAAGGATCTGCAATCAACAATGAAGTTGTAGAATTGATAAAAGTCATTTTCGTTGCTAAGTGTAAAATAAATTGATGTATATTTTTGATTGATTTGTATTACAAGATTGTTGTGTATTGATCTGTATGTTACAAGCTATTATATAGGAGAGGTGTGAGGTAAGTGAGTGGTGGTAGTGGATGGTAGTGGAGGTGGTGGGTGGTAGTGGAGATGGTAAGTGTGTTAGGTTTAGTGGGGTGGATGTAGTGGGTTAGGTTAGTGGGTTAGGTTTAGTGTACATTAACAGCCCCCCTCAAACTCAAGGAGGATAGACACAAACCAACTTGAGTTTGGAGAGAGTTGCAAAACAGAAAAATAAACTGATAAATAAAATGAAACAGGATAGGAGACACGGTATGGTCGTGTCAGACCGTTGTAGCAGACAGTTTACGGGGTCATGTCGGACCGTTGTAGCAGACAGTTTACGGGGTCATGTCGGACCGTTGTTGAAGACACTGTGTGGTCGTGTCAGACCGATGTAGAAGACAGTTTATGGGGTCATGTCGGACCGTTGGAGCAGACAGTTTACGGGGTCATCAGACCGATGTAGAAGACAGTTTACGGGGTCATGTCGG